CCATGGTACTCTCCATACTCTACTCCAGCACCACAGCTCAAAGGCATCAATTCTCCTTCTATCCTCCATGGTCATTGTCCAACTCTCTGATGCATAACAAGTGATTGCAAAGACCATGACCTGTGTGAGATGCATCTTAGTCTCCAGAAAGACACCATTGCTCTTCAGTACTTTGGAGAGGTCCTGAACAGCAGAGTTTCCCATGGCAATATGCCTTTTAATTTCCTGGCTACTGGTGCCAAGAGTGTTGACTGTGGAGCCAAGCAACCTAAAGCTGTGAACAATCTCAATCTCTTCACCATCCATCCTGATGCTGCCAATTGACCCAGTGGTGAGAATCTTTGTCTTCTTGACATTGAGCCTCAATCCATACTGAAGGCTGCAGTCCTTGACCCTCTGCAGCAAGCACTTCAGGTCCTCCTTATTTCAGCAAGCAGGGTTGTGTCATCTGCATAATGCAGATTGTTTATAGATCTTCCACCAATCTTGACCCCACACTTCTCCTCATAGAGCCCAGCCTCCCCGATAATCTGTTCTGCATACCGGTTGAAAAGGTATGGAGACAGGACACATCCCTGGTATAAACTCTTCCCAATTTTGAACCATGCAGTGTTCCCTTGCCCTGTTCTGACAGGTGTCAGGATGGCCAAATGGTCTAAGGTGCCAGACTCAAGTTTCACTTCCTCTGTCTGAGGATTCTGATCTCCAATGGAGGCGTGGGTTCAAATCCCACTTCTGACAAAAACAACTGAACTGTATAGATCGTAATAAATAAAAGAAGCCATTCTGAATTATAGGAATTCTAGAACTTGTAATGGTGTTCATGTTGAAACAAGATAGACCAAGAAGCAGTCATTTGAACACACTAACAAGATATTAAAGTTTAAAATCAGGAAGAGTATGTATGAAACTGTTTGCTTTCATGATGACTATTCAGTTTGAGAAGGTGGCCGAGCTGAAGAAAAAATCTGACATCAAGTTCAAAGGAAGATGCATTAACGATCCACAATAT